TGGTACCTTGGGTTGTTCAAAGGAACACCGCCCATGCCACTTCAAGGATTGATTCCGTCAGATCCATGGAGATTCTCTGGGAAATGAAGTAACGGGTCTGGTCGAAACTATGCTGGTTGCAGCAAAGTTCCCACATCTGCGGTTCGTTAACCTCAACTCAGTAAACTCAATAAAACCAATAAACCAATAAATCAGTAAATCAAACTCGTTTACTGATGAAAGACTGCGCAATACACAACACATTCAGCCGATTTGTTTGTTGCAGCTGCGGGGAGCGAAGTCGAAGGTGCCCGGTAGAAAAAAACGCACGTGCAGGCACAATACTGGCTCAACGTCGTTAACTCCCCGAGCATGGTGCTCCGGATTTATATATATATATATATATATATATATACATATATGTATATATTATATTCCTTGTCGTTGTTTGTCAATGCAACAAAAAACAGGTGCTCCGGATTTTTCCGAAGTTAACATGAACCGGTGATCACCTCTTCACTGAACATAGACGGAGCCGGGAAAACTATTTCTCAGCGGGGATTTGTTAGCAACATGCTGTCGGCCTGTTTGCAGAAACATCGATCTGCTTCAGAAGAGCGAAGCACGAAAACACATACTAGCTGGTGCTTGGACACATTCCATTCCCCCGGTTGCTCATCAAGTAGCCAATCCAACTGCTTTGCTGCTCAACTGCCAGGCGGAAAAACAAAAAACGTTGCCACGCAGGAAGCGAGGCAAAAAGCAATGAAGAAGCCAGAAGGAAACCCAAGGAAGCCATTGTTGGTCCCGCAAAACCCAGCCAATTTTTGAACAATCAATCAACAACATCAATGAAAGCCCTCTTCTGAACCCGGAGGATGGTGATTGAACTTCCGGGGGGCCAAAAGGTCGATTTTCAAGATCGCTCGCAAAAATGGGGCAAGGGAGCTTCCAGAGTTGTACATGGGTGTTTCCCAGGAATGTGCGTCTCACTTCCTAACTACATTCAATGCACAAGTGCGCTAACGCCCACGATACTCTATATACAATTGTGATTTACATGTCTTACCAATCAGATTCAGTTCAGAGGCCACTAAACCCATGAAGATACTTTCTGGCTTTCCGATCAACACACCTTCCACCCAACAAACATTCAACTGCCTCCTGGCTCCCGATAGAATCATTGATCGAACATACAAATACCCTTCCACCACACAAGCTGACAGTTCTGAGAGGACTTTGAGGGTTTCATTCAGAGAATACTTTATTTTTGGGGTGGACTCAAAGGGCCACAGGGAAAACCCCCCGCATCTTGACAGACCGACGGATGCTCCTGGGGTTCTGGCCGACAAAGCACTTGATGGCAGACCTAAGTCGCCAGTTGCGAATCCGCCCAGCAGTTTACTTGCCCAGCTTGCAGAAAAAGGCCTTCATCTGCACAGCCCTGTGTCCCCAAGATCGAGTCACAGCCAATTTTCACCATGGCGGTGGATGTCGATTCGACATATTGCAAGTACAACCAGGAAACCCGTCGTCATCTACCGTGGCTTTGCGGCTTTTTGTACAGGGATCCTTACATTATACACCTGAACATTGCCTTGTAAATGGTGGTTTCCCTTTAATTTGGTGGAAAAACATGTTTCAAATGGCAAAATGTATCTGTTAAGGAGCCCTGTTGTATGGTCGGTTCGCCTGCAAAGAATAGAATCGGCATCCCCGGTCCCCCGGTCCCTGAAAACTTTTTGTCCGAGGGCCCGACGTCTTGCCTGCGCCATTGTGGCCCAGGAGCCCGAAGACCTGGCGGAAAACTCGTGCTCTAGGGGTTGGCTCCAACCCTCGTGCTTTTCAAACACCAGTCCTTTTCACTCAGTTTGATCAAAGGGGGTCCTGTTCCCCAACCCTTTGGCTTGAGGATTTCCAGAACGGATTTTTGGTGAAACAATGTCAGATCCCTTGCGAAAAGTGAAATTGTGGGTTGATGTTGACCTCATATTATATAATTAACCAGGGGGGTCTTCCCCTCCGAAAGTGAAACCCCACTAAACCCAGGAACACCCCCCTCAATAAGCTCTGGTGGATTTAGAGGGGTCAACATGAAATGGCAACTCCCACTCAACCAACGGAAAAACTGTGAACCACCAAGATGAGTGTTATAACTGTTCAAACGTTGATATGGCGTCCACTAAACGACGACAACACAGAAAGTTCAATAGAAAGCGTGATTTTGCAGCGTGCCCTGTTTGTTGGTCTTAGAGACCAATGGTGGCACAAAATTGGAGACGTCATCCGGAGAAGCTCCTGGGGAATGTGATTTGGGATTCGCGAATCCGCAATCCCAAATCCCGAAACCCAAAGTTGGATTTGGGATTGCCGAACCCCGAATCCCGAATCCCGCCCCCGGACCCCGCATCCCAAAACCCAAAGTTGGATTTGGGATTTGCAAATCCCGAATCCCGAGACCCAAAGTTGGAGTTCGGGCTCGCGAATCCCAAAGCCCGAGCCCCAAACCCAGCACGTCCATGTCCAAGTTTTCTTTGGTCGGAGCTTGTTTGCTAGTAAAACTTCCCCCCGACCATCTGGTGCTCCAAGCCCATATTGTACTGCCAGCCCATTGTTGCTCAAGCCAAATGGCTAAGGTATGATGCAACAGGAGCCTTGGGCGCATGCACTTGTGTTTCGTTTCGGGGGCAACTTCTGCAGATTTGCTCAGGTACCATGCGGCATGATTTGCGTAAACGCCAGAAACTCAGAGCTCATGAGCTCAGACGCTGTGCCCAGTTACACGAGTGCCAATATGTGTGAAAATCCTTTTATGGCCATCAAGGGTTGATCAAGCATACGCACCGATTAACATGTTGACACCTAGTCGGTCACATGCTTGACCGGCCGAGGCCAACGTGATCCTGGAGGCGCTTCCCGCCCTTGCCTCTAATGTGCCTGCGTTGCCAATAAGTTGGATGTACGTTTTCGCCTAAAAGGCGCATCCACACATTTCTTTATCATGCCTTGCATGGAAGCTGCTGCGGCCCCCTGGAAGTGAACCATGGGTTAAACAAACCCATCGGTCACGGCCCTTCGAACAAAAAACCCATCGAGCACTTTGAAAGGAAGGCCCTTCGAAAGGGGACCAACACGGGATTGTGCTTCGACCCCACATGTAGCGCTTGCTTGCTAGCGCTGCCGCCGTGCCGATGTCGAAGCCAGATCCTGCGAGAGTTGAAGGACAGCTTGGGTTCGAGTGTCATGTGCAACATCCATGCTACCGCATTCTGGGTTTCCAGGATCTTTCTGACGAGTTTTTGACACCGGCTTTCGCCAACCAGCACCTTGCAGAAAGGCGCAGAAAGACAGGCAGGCCGTCCAGCTTGAGAATGGTTGCCCTCATGGCAAGAGGCTTCTCGCTAATTAGCTTCTTGCACACCAGCGCTGCACCGAGGCCCAGGTCGGCAGGGGAGTCCAGGCAGGGTGGGTGCTTACACTTCTGTTTGGCGTATGCCACCTTTGCGGCTGCTGGGTTTTGGCAACACCACCAATTGCGTGAAATCTCAGCCAACCCCTTGCACCTGCAGGAAGCGCTTCGGCAGGTCAACAGGGAGCGCCGCATGCACAATTTTGACAAACAGGAGCTGGAGGCGCCGTTTGTCTCGAGCTGGTACGTATGTGTTTGGTTGATTGTTTGATTGTGTTTGTGGTTGTTGTTCTTTCGTTCGTTGCCTGCTGGTTGATTGATTGACTGATGAATTGATTGATCGATCGATCGAATGGTTTGATTGATTGGTTGACTGGTTGGTTGATTGGTTTTGATTGATTCGATGATTGGTTGATTGATTGACACAACGATTTTCGAGGAGGCTTGCAGCCGAACTCCGTCTCCCAAGCTTTTGCCTTGACACAGTGAGCTTGGGTCAAGAAGTCCGTCCGGCCTCCCCGTGCATCGGGATGCTCGGCTCGCCAGGAAGCCACGGCAGGACGTGGGTTCTCAATGAGCTCATGAGCCATCCAAAGCACATCCTGGGCCGGAGACATCATGGAATTCTGCCCTCCCCACGTCGAGCCGAGTACGAGCCAAACTTATATGCAAAAGTTGTAAATACTTTCATCTAGCTAGCCATGCCTGGCTCGGCTCCCTCACCACGTCGCTGGACACGTGCGGCGGGCGCGGCGCGCTAAGGCGGCGCAAGAGGTTTTTGCGGTCCTTCCGCAGCGTCCACCCATCGCATGCGAAAGGGGATGCCAAGCGGTAGAGGCGGAAGCTCTCATGGGTCGGCTGTCAGCCTGAGCAGCAGGTCCTGTAACTAAAGGTCGCAATGGTCTGTAACGAAACACGCTGACAAAAAGAAGTTTATCAACGCTTAGCAGCAAAACTGCATGTGGGTCAGCACCTCCATGCGTGCTCGTAGCAGGTCCGCGGGGCGTATCAGATAGCACTTGAAGGCTAGGGTCCGCCACCTCACGCCACACCTGCGCAAACGCCCGTCGCTGCTGCGCAAAATTGTCGGTGGCATGAGAAGCAGGGAGAAGACACTGCAGTGGCAGGCCGCCCCGTCTGCGGCTCTCTTTCCTTAGCTGCGGCGACTTGCGATACGACTTCAGTGGAAAGAAAAAAACTGGACCCCCCCCAAGGGCATTCATGATTCGGTGTTCACCCCAATTATCCATTCCCAGCACAGCGCGCTGAAGGGAAGATGCTAGCTGCATTCCCGAGAATCATCCGGAGAAAAAACACAACAACATAACGCCGCAGCCACATCCAGAAAAACACCACATCCAGGGGAATCAAGGGAGCCAGGCGAATCGATTTGATCATGATTCTTCAGTTTTTGTGCAGGGAGGAGTTCCCGGGTCTGCCACCGTACTTGCGTGCGGTGCTGCCACATCTCTGCCACTGTAATTGCATGGGACACTGCCACATCTCTTTTCCGTAGCCGCTCGCAAGCTGCGCCATGTTTCTTTGAGGGCTTTGTCCAGTCAACTGTTCAAAAAACGGCCACCATGGCCACTTGCCGCAGTTGCAGGGAAACCTTTGCAGCGCCAAGCTGCACAATGTCCCTATGATGTTGATTTTGATTTGATTTGATTTTATTTCGATTCGATTTGATTGAATGGTTCATCGATTTATTGACTGGTTGACTGGTTGGCTGGCTGAATTTGATTGATTTGCTGATATGGGTTGGTTTATTGACTGACTGGTTGGTTGGTTCGTTGAGTGTTTGACGATTGATTGATTGAATGATTGATTGATTGATTGATTGATTGATTGATTGGTTGATTGGTTGGTTGATTGACTAACTAATTGGTTGGTTGATTGTTGACTCACTGATTGACTGAATGATTGCTTTTGTTGGTTTCCCTTAATCTTTGAACCCCGTTCATGCGAGGCAACGCTGTATCCTTTGGCACCTTTGATGTGCGCAATTGCTGTTTGGGGGCGATGGGGCTTAATTTGGAAACTATGCCAAGCAAACCAATATCGGCCCGCCTCGGCCTCTCAGTCCATAGCCGACACACAAAATAGGTTGTAACACCCTTGCGTTTTTGTGCTTGCACACGCATGCGTGCGACGTGAACGCGCCTGACTGGACGGTCGCCGAAGCGTCCATACAAAGAGGCTGCACGAGCTTCGTTGGAGATCGGTGATGATGAGCTCCAAGAAGACCTTTTGCAGGTCAGCGTGTTTTCAAGTGTTTTTGCCGCGCAAATGCATTGCGTAGCCTGTGCCGTGATCGGCTTTTAAGCTCATGTGTCGACAAGGTTTGCCACAGGCCCAGCGAGGAGGATCCAGGCTATGCCTGGCGACCCTTCTGAAGATAAGCGCAAAGGGCGACGTGGGTGCAGGAGGGGCCGAGGAAAACCGCGTGGGGGAAAAGGCCGTGGAAGGGGTCGAGGCAAGAAAGCCCAGAAGACTGATGAGCTCAAGGGCAACCCTGGCCAAGATGCGGACAATGACCAGAACCGCGTGAAAACGCTCTTTGCTGAAGCGGCCAGAACTGTAGATCCTGCACTAGGTTTGTCAGCTCCGATCCGTTCAAGTGTACAAATGGGGTGGGCTTAGAATATGCGGCGGGTCGTTGTTTGTGTCCCCGCCCCCTGACAAGCTTGCAAAGAACGCCCGTTCCAAAAATAAGATGGGTTGAGTTGTTGAACGAACTGCAACAGCTTGCTCAGCCAATTGTTTGTAGAGTCCAACACACCCCATCGTTCGTGGGGATTTCTTGTGATTCTCGCACTTTGGTCTCCCGCTCAAAGCCCCCCACCCGAAGCCATCAAATTCTAATTGGGTTTCATCTTGAGAACCATGTCTTCTCGTTCAGACCCCTTTTCCGTTCCCTCCGGACCAGGAAGCTGGGCCGCGCCTAAGATTGAAGTTAGGGAAGTTGGGCAGCAACAGCGCGCGGGACTTTGTTCGAACCGTGCGCCTGCCTTTGGAAGCATTGCTGCGCTGAACAAGTACTGCATTCTTCGCTGATACCTTCAGACCTTACCCCTCTAGATAGATTTTGAGGGGCCATGTCTCAAACCCGACGGACCCTTTAGCGCAACCTTTTTTGGGAGTCGCTTGCTGCTATCTCAGGAACCAGCGAATGTCAAAACACCGTTGCAACCAAAGGATCTAAGTGATTGATGAAGATGAACAGCTTGGAGTCATGTGTTTCCCCGCAGCGGGCCTCGTCTCCGTAGAGCACGCGTGACCCATCAGCAGGATGTGCCCTGGCCCACTCCACGAAAGTTCTGGCATGTGTCCAGTATTCTCGAACTTGTGCTTGGGGCAGTCCAAGCTTGATGTCACAAAACAAGTGCTGCAAAATCTGGTGTGGCAGAAGCACTGGCACATCGGCCACATGCTCGGCCTATGGCTGAGCATGCCGCTATTCAAGCCTTCCTCCAATCGATGCTCGCGCTGGCTTCTGTGCGCGCTGGAATCGAGATCTCATGTTAGATCACTACTTTTTGATGTTTACATGCAGGATTCATCCGTTTCAATCTCTCAGATCTTGCGTCTCAACTACTTTCTGATGTTAGAACTTCTTTCGGGCCACGAAGTTTGTATTTAATTCTGGAAGAATCGTGAAGAGCATCAACGGACTTTTCGAAGGAACTGAATTGCAGGGCAATGACTTGGCGCTTTGCAGTGACCGAGCTGAGGGGGGATTGGGAGTACTTCTACACCACCTTTAGGTTGACAAGGTTTTGGAAAAGCAGCAAGATCTGCTGGCGATATAACGCCGAGGGGAAGCTCGGAACTGAGTTGCCATACTGGGAAATTACGGATCCGCAAAATTGGTGGAACGAGCGTTTGTCCTACACTCAGTTCCTTGCACGTGTGCTTCCATAAGACGGGCTGCAATGAGACTTGGCTCAGTGATTGCTTTCTGCGCTACATCAGCAGCTTATAGGTGTACGCGTGCGTTACCGCTAGTCAAATCTTAAGGCCCGTGTGTTCTCATCAAGGGCATGCACCACACGATGCTTCGGCACTGCAGCCTACACAATGTCAATTTCACTTCAAGTGGATCCTCCTTG